AGAGAAATCAAAGATAAAGAAGCTCATTTTTTACTTCGAAATGCATTAGTTGATCATTTGTGGGAAAATTATTATAATTCTAATGAATAATTTAGAATTGATGTATTATTGTGTTTAAGCTATATAATGTAATTTTTAATGTATTAAATGTATTCTTTTAAAACCTTGTTGAGTAGTTTTATTTATATAATAAAAATTTTAATTGTGGTTAATATTGTATTTAATAGAAATGCTATAAATTTAAAATGGACTGTTTTGCAAATAGTATAAATGAAAGGTGATATTCCTAATTTTGAAATAAATATAATATTAAAAATATTCTTTTGGAGTAGAAAATTGAGTAATACATTGGAGTAAAACTCAACTGCATTTTGGAGTTACTCCATTTTAGAGTAGAAAATGGAGTAATACATTGGAGATGCTCTAAGTCTGTAAAATTCACCTTCTATCTAATCTCAACTAAAACTCAAAATTCCCAGAATTTGAATGACTAAGACTCGTAATCTCTGTTGCACAATAAAAAAAACGAGGCTCACAAAAAAAAAGAGGCTCGTTGTCTCTTTCTCTCGATAATTTAGGGGTTTTAAAAACACAGGAATTTGAAAAGACAATGTCATTAGCTTACGCTACATGATGTTTTAAGTAAATGATGTGTTGTTTATTAAGAAATCATGTAGTGTACAAAGATATTAAAAACAAAGCGTTATGTTTAAACGGTATGGGCTGCTACACTAAGATAAGTGAGTTGGGGGGGGGGGGGTTATATGTTGAATCAATAATTGAGGAGGTTGTATACGAATCAAACATAATTTATGCGTGCAGACGCGGGTCAACCGAATTTGAGTTGTGGAAGCAGTGACGCGCCCTGAGATCTTGTTGTTATTTCCATAAAATTATACCGCTTTTGTTGGGATAGTGAAGAACTTGTGTGACAGATCGTTTGTTGTGACTCATGATATGTTTGGCATCTTCCCACGACATAAGAATGTTTCATTTCTAAAGTAACGATTTAGACTAACAAAAACAGCAACCGAGGTCAACGTTGTGATTGAAGTCTAAGGGAGACTCATGTTTATGCTTTTTGATTGCACCATAGAGAAATGTCTTCTTTACTGGGGTTATAGTTCTATTTTACCTTCTTACGCGCTGCATGTAGAAAGTCCTGAGGTATAAATGTTTATGCATGTTTAATTTTCAGGAAACACAGGTGATAGGGTTCCACTCTCCTATAGAATTCATCCTCAAGGTCGGCTCGGTCTCTCTGTTGATGTTAAAAACGGGATGAAAAACAGTGGTAAATTATTTGCTTCATTCCCTAAAGACATGCACATATGTCTCGTTCTTCTTGGATCTAATTAAGTGCAGAGATGGTTGTATATTGTATAATAATTCTATAATGCTCCGACCACCCACAGCTTATATACCTTCCACATGGTTTTCCACGTCAATTCATTTGTCTCGTTGGTCCCATTTCGTACGACATGCAATTTCTTAAGTTTAGATTCATAAATATTGTTTATTAACCTTACAATCACCACATAACATTTCTTCATGCTTTGATATTACTGACATGCTACTGCGAATCATTTTCTGATAACTCACTTATCTTTTCACTACTCCACCTTAAGCACTCTTAACTATGGAGTTCTTTCTACTTTTGTGAACGAAAGTGTAAATATGCTTTAGTGACATAGGTAGCTAATCAATTTGTTTCAACTCTTTGGTACACTACAAATCATGATATTACAATTCAGGCTCTCTCACAAAATGTAATGTCCTCATTGCTTCTCATGATCGTCATACATATTTGTGTAAGCTCACATAAGATTCCACAATTGTCTGGGATTGTTCTGATACCATTTATTACGTCTCAGGCCCCCAACCACTCATGACTATTCGTCCTCTTACTCCTGCTCACTTGGCACATGAACCTCATCCTGTGTGACAGATACTTCAATAATTTTTAGAAGGCTCATAATTCTTGTTTACTAACCGTTGAAATGCCACATGAATTTTTCTCGTGCTTTGATCTCACTAACATATATAGTGAATCACTTCCCGATATGTCTATCTTTTCACTACTCCAGTTTAAATACGTTTAACTCTGGAGTTTTATATGAATGTATGCCCCTAAGAATACTTCACTTTGATAATATAAGTGGCCAATTTTTTTTTGTTTTTTTGATTTTCTATATATTACAAACAAGGATGTTATAATTTCTTTACATCATCTTGAGGTATGAGCAGTTATGAGAGATTAATTGTAATTTTAGCTGAGTTGTTTCATCATCTTACTCTTAAGAGACTTCTTATTGCACTGAAGGTGTACCAGGTGGTAACAATGAACGAGCTAGAAATAAAAGACTTACGAGAGGTATGATTCAGTGAATATATGAACGTCATATTGTTTAGAGCATTTCTAACTCATTGTTATATTTGTCTCTATAATATTATTCAGATGCATTTCCATTCTCATCCATTGATATTTCTTTCTCTAAAATAAAATTGTTATTTTTACTTTATATATATGGAAAATAGTAATGTATATTTTTATTATATTTCTAGAGTAATAATTTTATAAGGAATTATATTGGAGCAAACTTTCTTTGTATAATAGAAATTTTCTATCAGAAAGATTCTCTATTTTAGAGGAAAAGGTAAATACTAAAATATACTCCCTCCGTTTTATATTAAGTGTCATTGTAGAGAATTTTTTGTGTTACAATATAAGTGTCGTTTTCGGTTTTCAATACAAAATTTATTAATTTTATTATGTAATTTGTTTTTCTATTGGTTAAAATATGGTTAGGTGTATGGGTAATTGTGTTTTTATATAGGAAATATGTAAAATTAATTGTTTCCTTAATCCGTGTGCATAGCTGTAGAGTGACACTTATATTAAAACAGAGGGAGTATTAGAGATGGTCCATACACAATCAGCTTTGGTTACCCTACATCAGAACATCTTTAATGGTTTGCTTTGATGAATCAAAACAACACTAAAATACATGGAAACTTAAACCAAAGCAATAGCAATAGATTAAGATTGTAAAACTATCTATGTAAAAATTCAAACTTCACGTATTTGTCTTTGTATAAGACATGCAAAAGTGTGCATTAACTAAAAGAAAATCTTTTGTATAAGATTAAAAAGAGATTAAGATTATAAGAAGAAGATTAAGATAAATGTCGCTGAAAATCAAGACAATATCCTTAAGCAACAATCAATACAAATCAGAAACAATCAAATAAAGGAAACACTTAGAACCAAATCTGGGATTAGCCCCAAAGCTATTACAGAATCATAACATTTTCATCATAGTTCGTAACACTTAAGTGTTCTCCATTACGATCTGAACCCTTAAACACCTTTCCAAATATTCTGACACTTTTGCTTGCTATCCAGGTTGTAAAAGAAAACATAGAGTGGATTATTCCAACAACTTATGACCCAAGTAATTTCCCCTGTATCAGAAGCCCATGTTGACTTTATTTCCTCAAAATTTGTATTTGGGGAAACAAAGCTATGCTTGGACCATTTCTCTTTCTTGGTATCATTTAGAACCCATAACTCACCATTGTAGAAGCCGGAAAACCGGATCGACTTAAACGATATAAGAAAGACGGAGTTAAGGAAAGAAACGATTATATAAGACATGGGGGTGAGATAAATCTCTTTCCTTAACTCTTAATATTCGCTCCGTAGTGAGACGAAACTGTACGAATATTGAGTCCCAGGATACAACCATGGCAGACGAATC